CGCTCACCCTCCGTCCTAGCCGTTAATTGTTCCCCCCCCATGACTTCCATCTTTCAGGAGGAAGCGGTGCTGCTGCGTCCCCCAATCGCTTACCTTCCGTCGCTAAATGTCCGTCCCTTACTCTCTATCGCGTATCCCCGTCATTGCTTCCATCCGGCAGGAGGACGCGGTGCTGCTGCGGTACGCGCTGAGGCACGGCACGCGGCAGTGGGGGCGGCTGGTGCGAGGCAGGCAGCTCGCACGCGGCAACAAGGCGTGCTGCAACCGCTTCCTCTTCCTAAAGAAGTGAGCCCCAGGGGTGCAAAGTCGTGCAACCGCTTCCTCTTCCTCAAGAAGTGAGCCCTGCATGCATGCAAGCCACAATGCCATTTGCTGCAACCGTTTACGCTTCCTCAAAAAGTGAGCCCCGGAAGTGCAAAGGCGTGAGTTATTAATGTATGGTGCAATTGCTTCTTCTTTCTCAAAAAGTGAGCCCCATGCTGACTGCTTCCTCTTTCTCAAAAAGTGAGCGCGACACGCCTTACTGTCGGAGTCCGCTCGTTGCTGCCTTGAGATGAGACTATAAGTGGCACTCTTTGCTTCTAACCTTGCAAGATTCGTTGTTATATTGGTCACAACTTTCGTCACAGCTCTCACATTTATCCAGCCCATGCTTTTCCCTCACAATCTCCGTGTTTTCAGGAAGTTTACCCAGAAGCATGCTGACGTCATACTGCCAGCTCAGCAACAAATTGAGCAAGGCGCGGCCGTTTCCTCGTTCGTCGCCCAACCACAACGTCACATGTGGAGCCGTCCTGATGTGGCGCTGCAATATGGCGGGCTGTCATTGGTCGAGTGCATGCAGCTGTTCCTCCCCCCTGGTCTCCGAGACACCCCGGTAGCATCTGATGTTTCACCTGATCATTCACCTGACTTCAATCCAGCACCTGCTGCTGCTGCTGGTACTACTACTTGGAGAGGGCATGCAATAGCAGCAGCAGCAGGAGCAGCAGCAGCACCACCGAGCACCACGGCAGCATCGGCATGGGCGACAGCTCACCAGTTGGCCCACTGTCTGTTTCCAGAATCACATGCCACGGATTCACACCCCGTGGATAGGGGGACCAAGAGGCCTCGCAATGACACCACGGGATGCAGCACTGATGCCGCTCACACCAGCATGCATCATCAAGGCCTGTCGCCCACTCAGCTTCAGGGTATCGGGGCTGCTGATGTCTCGGCTGTGCGCTCGCTGCGTCCGCGAGCCACCGACAGCGAGAGCTGCCAGCAACAGTGCGATAGCAGGTGAGGCTATGATGCGTGAGCTCGTGACTCTTTTTGGTGAGGGCTTTGTGCTTCGCTTGCTCATGCGCAGAGCACACATCAGATGTACACTCTGGTCCTCATGAGTTCTTCCCGGTTTCTCTCCTCTTCTCTGCTCTTTCCAGGCCAACAATCCCGCCATCGTGGCTTCTGACCTTACTTCTGCAGCAAAAACAACAGCAAAAGCTGCGGCAGCAGCAGCAGCAGCAGCAGGAGGAGGAGGAGCATCAAGAGCAACAGGAGCAGAAGCAGCAGCCGTCACTGCTCACAAAGGATCTAGTCAGTTCCAAGCCATCTCAGTCGTTCCAGTCCCTGCGCAATCCCTCGTTCTCTCCACCCACCCACTGCAGCAGCGCACCCACGTTAGGCTCTCTCCCTGCCCTTGACTGGCCTCTCTCCTTTGCAACCTCCCTTACACCCTCCATCACGCCCTCCTTTGCATCCTCCCTCTCACCCTCTTTTTCACCCTCCCTCGCAAGCTCCCTCTCACCCACCCACGTGTCCATCACTCACCCCTACCTGTCCAGCCATCTCACATCCGCGTCCCCATGGCAATCCACCTCTCGCCCGCCTTTCACCTTTGGTCTCCTTCCAAGCTTCCCCGCTCTGCATTCCGCCCTTCCCCATAGCCTTTCCCCATCCCTTGGCTCGACCATTCCTCCCCACGCCGCTCCCCCCACCGCTACCCCCACCACTTCCCCCATTGCTCTACACAGCCCACTCACGTCTCCTCCATCCGCCACACCCTCTCCTTCCTCTCACCGCCACTCTGCTGCTCCTTTCACACCCACGTCTCCCATAACAGCAGCGACGCCACCGGTGTCATCAGCCCCTTCCACCGTTATCAACCGTGGCCCACCGCACTCTCTCCCCTCCTTCCCCTCGCTCTCTGCTCTTCAATCAGCCCTCCACACTCCACCCGCCAAAGCACCTCCCACACTCTCCGACCCATCGCAGCAATTCTCTTCTCAGCATCTCCTGTCTCAGCGCTACCCTTCCCGCAGTGCCTCCCCAAGCAACGCTGCTTCCTCCTCGTCTGTTGATGGCTCCCTGCCTTCCTCTCAGATCTCCTTCTAGCCCTCTTCTCAATGCACCGCTGCGCCCATGGAATCACAGCAGCTGCAAGCCACATCCACACCGTCAGCAGGAGAAGCCTCAGCAGCTGCTCCGCACCCATCCACACCAGCACCATCCGCAAGCATGCTTCCCAAGCTTCCCGTTCCGCCTGTGCTTCCACCAGAGCTCACTGAAAGCATGGCACCAGCAGCAGCCCTTCCAACCCCGTTGTATCATGCATCGATGGACGCAGCTCCCTTGTCTTCATCTGCTCTGAATGCAGCACACGCGAGGCCGCACAAGGCACCTAGTACGAGCCGAGGCGTGCTGCCCCCCGCTGCTCTGGAATTTGCCCGCTCTTTATTTTCCGGGCTGCCCGGCAGGGATGATCCCGAGGAAGGCGAGAGCAGGAACGGGCAGCAAGCATGGGAGCACACGTGCACGAGTGCGAGGCAATGTGTGCCCAGTGCAGGGGAAAGCCTGCCAAGCCTCGGCCAACCTTCACTTGCTGAAATGGTTACTGCATCAACTGCTGCTCCTCGTGTAACTCATGTGATTGATTCTCCAGCGGCAGCGGCTCTTGCTGCAGCAGCAGAAGGCATGTGTCAGGGAGAGGTATCCATTTGGAAGGATCTGATTGAGCTGGAAGGCGAAGCGGAGGGGGTGGTGTGCGGTGTGGAGAAGAGAGCAGGGGTTACCGTGGGATCGTTCTGTGAGCTGGAGGACCTCTTTGGGGACAATACCAATCTCATATAGTTGATAGCCCTTTTTCTCCATTCGCATACAGGTAGTTTTTAGCCGATGTGTAACTGTTCTTTTGTTTGGACGTTGCCTTATATATACTCAGTCACTGGATGCATGCAAGCCACAATGCCATTTGCTGCAACCGCTTCCTCTTCCTAAAAAAGTGAGCACCACACGGCAGGCTGAATTTCATTGTTTCTGCCTTGAATTAACAAGATCCACACTTTTGCTTCGCATCTCGCAATGCTGTTCTGTTTCGTGCGGTTTCTCTAGCAGCTCGAACACAGCTTTAACTAACCCATGCCTCTCCCGATACTCCCTTGTGTCTGCAGGAAGTTCACCCAGAAGCACGCTGACGTCACTCTGCCAGCTCAGCAACAGTTCCAGTAAGTCCAGGCCGTTTCCCTGCCTTCCGGCCAATCACAGAGGCACATGTGGAGCCGTTCTGACGTGGCGTTGCAATATGGCGGGCTATCATTGGTCGAGTGCATGCGGCTGTTCCTCCCCCCTGGTCTCCGACACACCCCGGTAGCATCTGATGTTTCTCCTGACCACGCTCCTGACTTCAATCCATCACCTGATGCTCTCGCTCCTGCTCCCGCAGCAGCAGCAGCAGCAGCAGCAGCAGCAGCAGCAGCAGCAGCAGCAGCACCATCACCACCACCAGCAACAGCAGCACCAGCGGCAGCAGCAGCAGCAGGAGTGGCAGCAGCAGCAGGAGTGGCATCGGCACAGCAGACCACTGCCTCGGTCGCACCCCATCGACTGGCCCACATTCCGTTCCCGACCGCGGAATCGATTGCCACGGATGCACACACCATGCAATCAAACCCCGCACACGGATGCACACACCATGCAATCAAACCCCGCACACGGATGCACACACCATGCAATCAAACCCCGCACACGGATGCACACACCATGCAATCAAACCCCGCACACGGATGCACACACCATGCAATCAAACCCCGCACACGGATGCACACACCATGCAATCAAACCCCGCACACGGATGCACACACCATGCAATCAAACCCCGCACACGGATGCACACACCATGCAATCAAACCCCGCACACGGATGCACACACCATGCAATCAAACCCCGCACACGGATGCACACACCATGCAATCAAACCCCGCACACGGATGCACACACCATGCAATCAAACCCCGCACACGGATGCACACACCATGCAATCAAACCCCGCACACGGATGCACACACCATGCAATCAAACCCCGCACACCCCGTGCATCGGGGGACGAAGGGGCTAAGCAATGACGACGACACGGGAGTCAGCATCGGCGGCGCTGCTCCCACCTGTACGCGTGAAGGCCTGTCATGCCTCACGCAGCTTCAGGGCATTGAGGCTCTTGATGCCTCAACTGTGCGCTCGCTGCTTCTGCGGGCCGCTAATTGCTTCGCTTGTGCTGTGCATGCTCAGTGTTATGTTCGTGGATTTCTGGTGATTACTCTGTTGTTGCTACCTTGAATTTCCGCTTTCCCGATGTGGAATTCTGGCAAGTACGCTGGTTCACATCTCTTGCCTTACTCCCCCTTTGCGCTCATCTGCCCTGCTTTGCTCTGTCCAGGCCGACAATCCCAGGATCATGTCTTCAGGCGCTTCTGCAGCAAAAAAAGCAGCAACCGCAGCAACAGCTGTAGCAGCATCAAGATCAACAGGAGCAGGAGCAGCTGCCATCACTGTTCACACAAGATACACCTGATTTCAAGGCAACCCTATCTTTCCAGTCCCTGCTGCAGAGTTTGTCACTCGCTCCTTCTGCCCACTGCAGCAGCATCAACACTCCCACTTTAAGCTCTCTCTCTGCCCTCGACTGGCCTCTCTCCTTCGCGCCCTCCCTTGCACCCAACCACGCGTCCACCTCTCATGAAATGAGGGTGTTTTCGAGACGTCTCAAAAGCCACGCGTCCACCTCTCGGCCCTACCAATCCCAGCCTCTCCCATCCGCGTCCCCAGGGTACTCCTCCACTGGCTCGCCCTACACCTATGGTCTGTCTAAAGGCCCCCGTCTTCCGCATTCTTCCCTTCACCCAAGGCTTTCGCCATCCCTCCACTCGGCCACCCGTCCCCTCACATCTCCCCTCACCGCTCCGATCAACCCTCTCACGTCCTGTCCCTCCTCCATACCCCCTCCTTCCTCCCACTGCCACTCCGCTGCTCCCATCTCACCCTCATCTCGCATAACAGTAGCGATGCCACCGGTGTCATCACAGCATTACCCATCGCAGCACCACCTGTCTCAGCACAACCATTCCCGCAGTGCATCGCCAAGCATCGCTGCTTCCTTTGCTTCTGTCAATTACTCCCCGCCCTCCTCCCATACCTCCTCCCAACGCTCCGCTGCACCAGGGGAGCCTCAGCAGCTGTGGGCTGCACCCACAGCATCAGCAGGAGAAGCTTCAGCTGCTCCCCACCCTACTTCAACTGCTGCATCAGCACACATGCGTCCTATGCTCCCTGTGCTTCCCGGCTTTCCTGCAGAGTGCATTGAGAACCTGATTCCTGCAGCAGCCTTTCCAACCCCGTTGGATCATGCATTGATGGACGCACCTTCCCTGTCTCCATCTGCACTCGCAGCACAACACACGAGGCCGCACAAGACGCCTCGGACAACCCCAGGCGTTCTGCCCCCAGCTGCTCTGGAATTCGCCCGTTCTTTTTTTTCTGGGCTGCCCGGCAGGGATGATCCCCAGGGTGGCGAGAGCAGCGATGGGCAGCAAGCGTCGAAGCCCGCATGCACAAGTGCAATTCAGGACAGTTGTCGCAGCGCGAGGAGCGCAGAGACTCAGTGTGGATGTGTGGGTGGAGATGCATCAACAGACTTTCCTCCTATGGCTTGCCAGCCTTCGTTTCCTGATATGGTTTTTGCCTCCGCTGCTGCTCCTGGGGTAACTGCTGCGCCTGCTGTAACTGGTGGTAGTCCTGATGTTACTGATCCTTCTGCAGCAGCTGCTCTTGCTGTAGCAGCAGGAGGCATATGCCAGAGAGAGGTATCCATTTGGAAGGATCTGATTGAGCTGGAGGGCGGGGCGGAAGGGGTGGAGTGCGGTGTTGAGAAGCGAGCAGGGCTGACAGCAGGCTTGTTCTGTCAGCTGGAGGACCTGAGGAGAACGGCACTATAATGTAGCTGTGCATGACGTCACATGAAAGAGAGTTCTTCGGGTGAAAGAAGCCTAGGCTGCTTTTGTTGAAAACAAATATGGTGCCTATTCAATCGCAGCTTTCTTTTTCTTTTATGTTCCCCCATCGTCCCCCCCGTTCTCCATGGGATCGGAATTCTTTTGGTGCACACCAAAGCTACCCATTGTTTTCTGCGCAGATATTAGCATACGTGTTTGTCAGCAATTTCTAGTAGTGGATATGGGATGTAAGTAAATTGCTTTACTACTAATTGGAGTCTCGACCCTTTGCATTGGCAGCTATAATGTGTTCTATACACTATTTCCGCTTTCCTAAAGGACACCGTGTAAGGAATTTTCTCGACATTCCTTAGCGCGCCCTACAACATCGCGTACAGTAGCAGCCGTTGTTAGCTCGTTACTACTAACGGGGCTTCGCCGACTTCGCGCGCACTGTTTCACCAAACCTCGCATTGCTGGCCCGGCCGAGTCGGCCTACGCTTCGGGACTAGCCCGAACCTCACCGCCAGCATAACACTAGCTAGCTCGCACGCACCGCGTTACCGTTTGCATGTTTCGCGCAAAAATGTTCGCTCACGCCTTCGCTCACATTTTGTACTCGTTTGACACTTAGGGTGCGTTCCTATGGAGACACTTGTGTCTCAATCCTTTTGTGACGCATTAAACCAGCTTATAACGTACAATGTCACAAACGCGTGTCGCCCTTGTGCGAGTTTTAATGTATTTTTCATTTGTCAGCGTGAAACGCGCTGATGTCGCGGACGAGTTGTGTATCGACCCGTCACTGTCAACAACTTTGTACGGGGTTCGAAATGTCAATGCACCTGGACATTCCGCAGTAAAAATCTTGCGCGGGAAAAAGTTCTGCTCGTCAAAACCCCACCCGAACCAGACAGTTGAAGAAGGTGTTCAGTCAAGTTTGAAATCCAATCAAATGAGGACAGCTGTAAATTTCGCCTGGTCGCACAAATTTGAAATACACTCATTTTTTGTGACGCGAGATTGCAAAAATGTGTAGACGCGACTCAGAAAAAAGGGGATTAAGACACAAGTGTCTCCACGGGAACGCACCCTTAGTGCAGTTCTTGCTACCTCGATTCATTGCACCCGTAACACTTGGTATCAGATCCTCTTTCTTTTTCGGACCGCACATCTTCACACCCCAGGAAACCAACTTTTGATTTTTCCACTGGAAGGGACTCACGCACCTTAGCCCCTAGCAGCTGCTATCCTCGCGTTCTCTCGTAAACGCGTGCAGCCACGACTGTGCGTAGACCAAGCTGAGCCGCGGCCCTTCGCAATGGCCGAGCAAATCAACGTCAACACCCTTACGCAGAAGTGTTTGAACGAACTGCTGCAGCAACTTCGCGAAAGCTCCGAAGAAATCGCGGCCCCTACGGCCGAACGTACATCACTGCAAAATGACATCGCACGAATACAGCAAGCACAATCCCAAGAACCTGGCACTCCGATACAGCTCGCACCACCAACATCGCAACATGGGAGCGTGGGGCAACCCGCGAACGCGGCCAGTGATGGCGTCGTCCGCCACGACGGAGACAACAACCATGGCACGACACACCCCGAAGCGACGAATGCAGCCAGAAGTCAAACTCGCGTCACGATTTTTGTGCCGGCCGGCGAATCAACACTGACGTCACCGATGCCGCTGAAGCCGCGGCGTCCGCCATGCTTTGACACGAGTCAACGGGGTGGTCCTACCGTCCAGGCGTGACTGTTCATGATGAATGTCTTCTTCGACACCAATTACGTCTCGGAGGAAACGGCAAAACTCCGTTACGCCGTGTCGCTGATGCGAGGACCCGCCATGGAATGGTGGCGTATCATCGTCACGAAGCCAGTGGACTACGCGACTCTATCGACACGGGAAGGACAAACCGGACCCTGGGCGCCGTCTTATTTCGTGGAGGTGCCCCAATATCACACGTGGGACGCGTGGTGCGCAGGTCCGCGCGCTCGATTTGAGCCAATTGCGGCTTCGATCGCGGCGCGACAGAAGCTCTGCACTTGGCGCCAACTAGGTTCCGTCCAAGGCTAAACTAGCGGGTTTCTGGCGCTATGCGAGCAACTGGGTTATATGCACGAGGGCGAGCGCAACGACCGCTACATCAGGGACCTGAAGCACGACATTGCCCAGGTAATCCAGCTTCGCGGCGTCACCGACTTTCAAGAAATTCTCGCTATGGCGGAGAAGATTGTCAGAACATATAGCTTACTTGTTTCTGTAGGCTATAGTGGGGTATCCCATAGGGGGTACAACCCAATTAGGGTTTCCTATTTGTACCCACTTCATTTCATAGTCATCCACTCCCATTCATTCAGTTTCACATGGTATAGAGCGGGTCCCTTCTAAGGACCGTTTTTTTTTGGGCCCACCCACGATCTTTTTTTTCCTGCCCGGAGCGCGCCCTATTCTCCTCGAGGCGCGCTCCCCCTAGTGCGCGTCGAGCTGCCCTTGTGGCGCCCCGAGAGTCGCGCGCGCGACTCATTTTTTTTTCGCGCGCGCGGCCTGGGCCCCACTTCGCGCGGCCCTTACAGCCGCGCCGCGCCGCCCTCTCGGCTCAGCCGCGCCGCGCCGCCCTCAAGACGGCCGCGCGGCCTCTTCGTCGCTGCGGCAGGCCCCCCCCCCCCCCCCCCCCCCCCCGCTGCACCTCTGTCGGCCCCGCCGCCGCCTTACCTGACGGCCGCCGCCTCACCTGACGGCCCGCCGCCTCGCCCTCTGGCCCGCCACCTCACCAGACGGCCCTGCCGCCTCACCTGACGGCCCACCGTCTCACCTGCTGGCCCGCCACCTTACCTGACGGCCCCGCCGCCTCACCTGACGGCCCGCCGCCACCTTACCTGACGGCCCCGCCGCCTCACCTGACGGCCCGCCGCCTCACCTACTGGCCCGCCACCTGACCTGACGGCCCCGCCGCCTCACCTGACGGCCCGCCGCCTGACCTGCTGGCCCGCCACCTCACGAACGGCCCGCCGCCTCCCCCGCTGGCCCGCCACCTGATCTGACGGCCCCGCCGCCTCACCTGACGGCTCGCCGCCTCACCTGCTGGCCCGCCACCTGACCTGACGGCCCCGCCGCCTCACCTACCGGCTCGCCACCTCACCTGCTGGCCCGCTGCACCCTGACGGCCCCACCGTCCCCGGTCCCGGCCCCGCCGCTGCACCCTGACGGCCCCGCCGTCCCTTGTCCCGGCCCCGTCACTACACTGCAGCCGAGCCGCCCAGCAGCAGCCGAGCCGCTCAACAGCAGCCGAGCCGCCCAGCAGCAGCCGAGCCGCCCAGCAGCAGCCGAGCCGCCCAGCAGCAGCCGAGCCGCCCGGTACCCGAGCCGCCCGAGCCGCCCCACCAGCCCGAGCCGCCTGCTGCTGTCCTACCCGACTCTCCTAGCCCGGTGAGACTTTCAGCTGCTGCCATGGCCACCCCCAATGTTCTTACTTTTGACGCTGAGGGGAGGGCCATTGACTTTGCCGTCTGGATTGAAGACCTGCAGCTGTACTTACTGTGTGATGCGATAGATGAGGTCTCTCTCTTTGACTTTGTCTCTGGCGCTGTCCCTGCCCCGCCTGCTGATGCTGACTCTGCTGCTCGCTCCAAGTGGGCGACCCGCGATGCTGCTGCACGTCTTGCTGTGCGTCGCCACCTCCCTTCCTCTGAGCGTGCCCACTTTAGTCAGTGCAAGACCGCTCAGGCCTTGTACGACGCTGTAGTTGCACGCTACTCCTCCCCTTCCTCCGCTACCCTTAGCCGCCTCATGCTACCGTTTCTCTTCCCTGACCTCGCTTCCTTTCCCACTGTTGCTGACCTAGTTACCCACCTCCGCGCTAGTGACACCCGCTACCGTGCTGCCCTTCCTGCTGAGTTCCGCGCTGCGAACCCTCCTCCCATGTACATCACTCTCTACTTTCTCGTCACCCGTCTCCCTGAGTCCCTTCGTGTCGTTAGGGACCAGTTTCTCTCTGTCTGTCCCACCACTCTCACTGTCGACCTCCTTGAGGAGTCCCTGCTAGCGGCTGAGAAGAGTATTGTCGCTGTAGGGGCCTCTCGGGGTGACCCTCGCACCCCCATCTTTGAGGGGTGTGGTCCTTCCCCCCTGCTGCCCTCTGTCGCCTCTGCCGCTGCGGCCGACCTCGCTGGTTTTGAGTCGGTCGGCGCGGCGTCTGCCCCCAGCGGCAGACGCCGCTCTGGCAAGGGCAAGGGGGGCAAGGGGGCGGGTGGAGCTAGAGGGGGCGGTGGAGGAGGCGGTGGGGGTGGAGGGGGGAGTGGGGGTGGCGGTGGGGGTGGTGGCGGGAGTGGAGGTACTAGTGGCGGCGGTGGAGGCGGAGGTGGCGGCGGAGGTGGTAGCGGAGGAGGCGGTGGGAGCGGTGGGAGCGACGGTCCTGGTGGGGGAGGTGGCGGTGGAGACGGGGGTGGCGGTGGAGGCGGGGGTGGTGGTGGAGGCGGGGGTCGGAGTGGCTCGTCCCAGCGGAGCAGCTCTGGGGGTGGTCAGCGCCAGCAGCAGCAGCAGCAGCAGCAGCAGCCGCAGCAGCAGCAGCGCTCTCGCACCGTCCCCGGCCCTCAGCAGCTCCGTGAGTGGTACTTGCAGCGTCAGCGCGGTGGTGCGCTTGGTCCCTGCCCCTACGTTCTTCGCACCGGTGACCGTGCGGGGGAGAGGTGTGGAGGCGCCCACACAGCCCGTCGCTGCTTTGGCCGCCTGACCGGCGCCTGGCGTCAGCAGTTTCCGGAGGCCGCTGAGATCCCCCGCTGGGGAGAGCTGTCTAGGGCTGGAGTAGCTATTTATGATCTTGACTTTGATGCTATTCTCTCTGCTATGTATGCTGTGACTGGTAGTGATGAGGATGACTGTTACCGGTGTTTCCCGCTCGACCCGGGCATTGGTACTGCCGCGTCAGGTACTAGTGAGGCTGCAGCTCTAGGTGCCAGTGCGTCTGTGCTCTCAGGTGCTGGTGAGTCCGCCCTCTCAG